ATAACCATAGAAATGAGTGCGGTTGACGTAAATATTTACTTAGCATTATTTAAATCAGTAAGGCATGCAGCTGTTAGCACCGAGTTGGCAAATGTAAATAATATATGTTTGGGAAAAATATTATCATATATCAAATAAACTTATTATTTGTTTGCTTATTACTAAATTTTTTAATAGAATTTCTGGAAATGACAATTTCGTTATTGCTACTGTCGAACACAGCAATATTGATAGATATTGCACGTGTGGTACAAAACTAAATCAAGCTTAGTAAGAAGAGGTCCTCCACATAAGTGAAATAATATCAAAGCTGCTTACAAGTTTTAGTTGGATCTATGAAATGTTAACGTAACTTGTTAATAAGAAAAGATATAGAAACATGATGTGGTATTATATACAAGTTTATATACAGCTGTGTTCACAAAAATAGCAGTGCAAGAAATGCAATCAAGTAATATTATTTTTTTTCAAGTTTCGTTACGATTATTCCAACGTCTACGCATTGTTGTTGTAGAATGGAATGTGTATAAGGAAGAAACGAAAAAATCCCGTTAGATTTGCGAGATTTAAGCAAATGAACAACTCTTTTTGCTAGAAGCACCAGTCTTCGGCTGTTCATTAAAATAGCAGAATTAAATGATTCATAATGCTTTAAACTTTAAAGAAATTTCCGAAAATCGTGGTATCCGACGTAAAACCACGCCTCATGAGGACCGATCTATTGTGCGATATAGCAGGGCGCAGCCTTTTGCATCGTCCAGCAAGATAAAAAATGACTTAAGCTTGAATGTTAGTGGCGTTACTATTCGGCGACGTCTTAAAGAACAAAATCTCAAAGCGTGCCATCAACGAAAAGCTCCACTGTTAGCCACCAGATATGTCAAAGCACGTTTGGAGTTCGCCAAAAGTCACCTTAATTGGCCCATTACAAATTGGCGAAATATTTTTTATACTGACGAAAGTAAAATTGTGTTATTTGGTGGAAAGGGCCCCAGACAACATGTCAGACGTCCACCTAACACAGAGTACGATCCTAGGTACACTTTGAAGACAGTTAAACACGGCGGATTGAGTATTATGGTGTAGGCATGTTTTTCTTACAGTGGAGTGGGCCCTATATTCATGATTGATGGATCGATCTGTATATGTTAACATATTAGAAAACATTTTGTTTCCTTGTGCCAATTAGGAAATGCCACTAAAATGGACGTTTCAACAAGATAACGACCCCAAACATACAAGCAAACTGGTCAAAAGCTGGATGGCATCAAAGCGGATCGATCTTATGTCATGGCCTGCGCAGTTTTTGGATTTAAATCCAATTGAAAACCTATGGGGAGATGTTAAACGATATGTTGCAAATCCAACATCTCGATCACAGCTTTGGGAGGTTGTTCAAAAATCATGGGAGCGGATCCCTGTCAAGCGCTGCCAGGACTTGGTGGATTCTATGCCTCGCATATGCCAGGCCGTAATAAAAAATAATGGGTACACGACTAAGTATTAACCCAAGCAAACAAATTAAAATAGTTTTTTGGAGTTCAACAATGTTTTTTTCAACTAATTCCACTGTTTTCATTACTCACTGCTATTTTTATGAACAGCTGTAAACAGCACTTTTTTGTTTAAATTAATAATGTAAAAAAAAATAACTAATAAATTCATTTGTTTTTGTTTAAAATAATCGCAAAGTTAAAACAAAATTAAATTTGTGAACATTCATTTACTTTTTGATATATAAAATTAAATTTAAAGTTGCAGCTCATTAGCACTGCTATTTTTATAAACACAGCTGTATATATTATAAACAAATAAATACGTATATTTGTACACACCGTATGAAAAATAAATATATTAATATACATGTTTTGGGAATTAATTTCTTTTATTCGAAATTACTATGTTAATAACTCAAAAGTTGTAGAAGTCTGAGCAGTTTGTATTGTTATTTCATCAAAAATATTATGAACTTCTAAGAGCAAAGTGAAACCATGGTGTTTGCAAAATATATAAGCAAGAAATCTCAATTTTACAAGGTGTTTTAGAATTATACAGCTTTCAAACGCAAAAATAACTTTCTTAAAACATTTAAATCGTACTAGAATATACTGATAATGTGCAATAAAATATTGTGATATCAGTTTGTCATTATCGCTGTAATTGTGAAAACCGGCTTCATCTCGATATAAGACCTAGATTGAAATTTCCTAATGCAAATTAGTAAGAGTTTGAAATTATGTCCTTACAGCAACTGGTGCACAGGCATATATTATATATCTATTTATGTATATATGTTAACTGTATTTTGTAACAGCTGTCATAAACATGTATCACCAAAATGTAACCATTCAACATTCTTGTGGTTTTGTGCTGACGTTGACAATATCTCACGATTTAGTGCAAGCTTATTGTGCAAAAGCAACAAGTATAGCGAGCTAAAATCAGCAATGGTGTTTGTATTTTTGAAAAAGCTGTATAGGTTTACATACTTCATGATGCGTCCATACGGGAAGAATTCTCCTTCATATGATACTTTTTCTTCTTCTCTTATATTTCAAGTCTCGCAAAACGTTTATATTAGTAGAGTTACTAAGAGGTGTTGATGCATATTTTGTTCATGTCAAAAAAAATGTGTCATTATTGTCTTTGTTGTTGGTGTGTTAGAGAACTTGGAGTTAGTTAGTGGGACGAAAAGTGAAGAGAGGCACTGTTTTCTGTGTAATAAAAAACTGTCTTCGATTCGATCAGCATGACTGGCTGAGTCAACTTAGCTATGTTCGTCTGTCGGTCCTTCTGTATATACGCAAACTAGTCTCTTAGATTTTGAAATATCGATCTGAATTTTTGCTCACGTCCTTTTTTCTCCGAGAAGCTGTTCATTGGTCGGAACCGCCGATATCAGACCATTATAGCATATAGCTGCCATGCAAACTAATCGATTAAAATTGAGTTCTTGAATGAAAAAGGTTCTTTACGAAATTTCGCAGAGATTATTATCCAAGCTATTGCTAAATCTTCGAACCTATGGTTCCGATCGGATCTCTATAGCATACAGTTTACATTCAAATTGACAAATCAAAATCAAGATAAAGTTCTTTTTATACTTAAACTTTTATGCTATAAAAAACGCACCTGTGAAGGGTATTATAGCTTTGCTGCAGCAAAAATTAACGTGTTTTCTTGTTTTTAATTTGTCACTCATACGCAGCGAAGAAAAGAAAATAGTTTTTTTTCCAATTTTATTGAGCCTTGGATATTAATTGACTATGTATTCCTGCACTGCAATGGTTTAACTTTGAGAAACTACTGCTTTCCATCAAAGTGTTCACCTTCTATGCTTACCAACGGACAGCATTAATCCGATTTTGAAAAATTGCTATCTTGACGTTTAGTGATGTAAAATGTTACCTTTAACAAGAAAGTCCTTGCGTCAGTTATTATGTGCCGTGTCTGATATTTGCTGGTTTTTCATTGTGAGTTCTAGTTTGTGTTAGTATTTCTGCTAAGTTAAGCTAGCTGCTATTATTAAGAAAAAATAATTTAAATTACTTCAGCATATTAAGAAAAAAAATTCCTACCGAAGCAGGTGTTGCTAGTGGCAGAATATACTAGCAATTGCCCGTGTGAAACGATTTTCAGCTTGTGTTATATTTCACTCGAATTTTATAGTAAATATGCACATTGTCTTATGAGTAAACTGTGTATATTTACTCATCTTCAGTCATATAAATGCTTAACGAAATGCTTATATATTTTAGGTCAAAAACAGTGTCTTCATATCTACCTTATCCGCGAAGCTGCGTGCTTCTCTATTTCCAAGACGATTTTAAAGTCATATAGCAAAAAAAAAAAAAAAAAAAAAAAAAAGAGCTTACAAAAGTTTAGTGGGAAAGAATTAAAAAGAAACGAGATTTTCAATTGAAAATTAAGCTCTTTTAAGCTTTGTAGTACCATAATTGCTACTAGGGTGTCGTTAAGACTTTGGAAATGTTTTTTTGTTTTTTGATTATTACATGAAGATCTCGCAATTCAGAAAAAAATCGATTTGTTGCGATTTCTTCTTTGAAGATAAATAAATATAATGTGCATTTACAAAATTTAACGGATTTCACAAATCGGCAATTATTTTCAAAAGGTAAAGATTCCCTTGATCCCATAGCCGATCTGAAATAGAACCTTCGATCACAGGTGTCGGTGAGGAAGATATTTCTACTTAAAATTATCCAAAAACGAAAAAAATTTATTTTTACAATAGATGAATAAAGGAAATTATCAAAGCAGTAATCAAAATTCTCCAGACGGCTTTAAAAATTGTATTCCGTTGATCGTTTTCTGACCACACCATGTCTAAGAAAATTTTCAGTTGAACGATTCAATCATTTCGGAGAAACATTCCTCACCGACTCTGAAAATATCGTTTCGAGAGAAACGCGTTTAAAGTTTTAGGAGCCGATTACAATAAGTTAAACAATTCTTTCAAATATGCTCATTTCTCCGAAAATATATACCAGATCAGAGAATTAGAATCTTAGAATTTTTGGAGAATATTTTCAAATATACGTGGTTGTGGTTGTCGCTCTTAACTGGATATAAATTAAATTAAGTGTAATGAATTTAATAATTTGGTTTAGATAAAAATGTCAAATATTTAAAAGAAAGTCAGTGAGTATGCACCTTAACTGTTTGTCAATTAGTTTTAATATAATCAAGTAATCGGATTTCAGCTCGACGATTTTTTGCTTGTATTGGAACTCAAAAGTACATATAGGTGTTTTTGTAGCGGCTATGAAGCAGCTGAGTTGAGGTACATACATTTTTCTTTTAAATTATCTCTTTTCAATGTATGTGTCTAACTTAGTAAAACGACTGGCTTTCACTTCACTTTACATATATTTATGGGTGATCAGCATAGAATAATCTTTCTGCCTGCCCGAATTAAATATCCAATGAACGTTTTATTTTCCGTGATTGATTTTTTAAGATTTTTTTTCTGTTTTAAGGCACTTCCGGCAGCTTTCGAACGCCAAAGTAACATTTTGCAGTTAAAATAAGGTGAGTGTGGTTTTATTTGATACTAGGTTGTGAACGTGTAGAATAAATATACTGTCATGTAGAAAACATAAATGATATATTGATTTGAATTTGAAAATATTTCCTACTACAAATAATTTATACTCTAGTTATTCTTTAGAACCAGCTTAACCTCATTTCCAACTCACAAGTAAGAGAATAATTAAGTTTGCAGGCTGGAATCTACGTACAAATTCTTTAAGCTACCCAATTACTGACCTTCGCCATAGTCTATCTAACTAACCATTTTTGTTTCATAGAGAGCGCAAGGTTAACAGGCAAAATTCGCTTTCATTGAATATACCTTTCTGCTAACATACCTAAATACACATATTTCGTTTTCGTTTTCAACTTTAAAGGATGAAGATAATATTAAATAAATTTCATTGAATTTGTAAAAAGATAGCTCAGAAAATCTACCGCTGACGCTTAGTGAGATGGGCAAATTTTGACCGAAGTTGGTGAAAGTCCAAATAAACAAAGAAAACGGTATTGGAGGAGCAAAAGTCAATAAGTATGCGCATGCATTGATCGAAAGTGAATTTAAAATGAACTCTTGTGAAGAGTGTAAATCAAACAAGGGTGAAAGTTTAACTGAAAGAAGCAGAAAAACCTTAAGTTGTTTTGAAAGGTCAAAATGCTAAGTTGCGTATAGTACCAGCTGTGGTCTTGGTTACTTATTGAGATTATGTTCTCACACTGTGTGAATATTTGTTTAGCAGAATGAACAGAGTTTTGCTAGCAATACTTGTACTTTAGTGTTGTACTAGTTATTTCTAAAGGTTATGCAAATATACATATACATTTACAATATATATTAACAAAACATATAAGAGTGCTTGTGCGTTTGAGTAACGTTTTGCGCTATTGATAATATCAGCTAAATTTATAATAAAACAGCAAACTAAATTCAATCAAACCATAAAGATATGTTAGTTACAAAAACAATATTTTTATACATTCAAAATAAACACGATTTGATCATCTTTGGTAGCACTATAACCACTGAATGTTATAAATTATGGACATCCAAGTTCTGTGTCTTCAATCACTACCACACACCGAATATTGTTTTAACTTTTAAAAGCACTCCACTAGACTGTAATGCGACTTCTTACCGTTTTTCATTAATTTCAGTATTAATATTTTTCAATATGAGTGTTTTCATTTTAAGCGTGGTTTTGACAAAAGCACAGATTTGTTCCGCATAAAAAATTAATAAAAATTCTACAAGATCCATGCTAGTAATTTATGCATGGGTCAAAATTGTGCCCCAACTTTTCGACCTACTTAAAATTCCCAAACATCACCCGTTTTTATGCAATATATATTCTGTTACTTAGGCTCAATATCATATCTTATGAAATTTAAAAAAAAGCACCAAAACTTTTTTTTAGAAATAGTTGATGAATCATTAAAATTATTTACTTAATATGTATTTGGTTTCATTTACAATATCCAGTCACCTTTTTTAAATGATAATTTGTCTTTCATAATATTAAATTTTTGGTTACGTATACGCACCGCTGCTCTTTAGCATGATTTGAGTTCTGTTTCTACAAATTTTATTACAGCAAATATAATGATACATATTTGCCCTTTTCATAAACATTACCATAGTAATCATCGCTATCACCAACCCACTCTTTATCTTTTAAATTGAGCCAATTCCTCTTTATCACAACACCTTGTATTTACTTTTTCTAATTTATTTGAATTTCATTGCTTGGCTGCTGGTGTCATCACTTATTTGTCAGCAGTTGGCCTTGCGGTTGTTTTGATTTGGTTTGCTTTACCGGTTGGTTAGTTGCTTGAGCGCTCCGTTTTGTTTTTGTTTTATGCATATTCAAAAATCGAAGAAGCAAACTGACAGTGATATCTGCACACGTAAAATTATCACATTTTTAATAACATTAATTAACTCTGGCCAAAAAGAAAGGGGCAAGCAGCTATTTTTAGCAAATCCTAATTGCCTGTCAATTCTAAAATTTCGAGGTTTGTCATCTGTTGTCAATTTATTTCATTGCGAGGCACATATAATATATTATATAGTATGATGAAATCAAGAATACAGAATGATTCTATTGAAATAAGCGCTCAACGGCAAGCGAAATAAATTGTGGTTATTTTTTTCAGTGATTTTTATAGGTTGAATACTTTTTGGTAAGTTCGAAATATTGGATGTTTTAAATTGGTTCATGAATCTAAAGATATACATATAATGACTATTCAAGGCAGCGACGTAATCAATTATCCTGTTCACTTTTAAAAGCTATAGAAATAATCAAAGCTTTATAACATATATTTTCACATTAAAAGCTGTTTATGTTTAAGATCCAGCTAACTAAAATTAGTATAAATAAGAAAGGGTTTAAGTTTTCTTGAAATAAATTAATTTTGAGCGGCAGTGATAGCTAATAGGATCATTTTAGCAGGTGATAGGATCATTATAGCAGATCCGATCTTAATAATTTCACCGAAGATATCACGTCAAATTAAAAAAGTTTTCCATGCGTCTTACAAACTTTGTGCCGAACTTAATATATCCTGTTCAGAGTATAAAATTGCTACCAGAAAGATTTTTCTTTTTTTTGAATGATTGTGTGCAGCTACTACTAGTTGACTACTATGTAGTTACCTTTATTCATCTTCCTCGCTAAGTTCATCTACTTCCTTCTTTTATGCTTACCTTTTTCACATCAATGGAAAAGTTGTTACTATTATCGATAACTATGTTAATTTTCGTTGTTCTTTTTATGTCAAAATTATACATTGTAACTATTTGCAGTGGATTTACATGTGAATAACTCAATCGACTGTTGAGTGATCCGTTCATTCACATTACCAAATGAAGTATAGAATGAGCAATTTCTTTATTTTGCTACGCATCGAAAGGAACTACATATTTGTTTATCTGCTCGATGACGTTGCAAGCTGCATCGCAGAATCAAGGAGAGCCAAGTCACAACAATAAGTGAATTATACCCACTTTTTTGTTACCCTGCACTAGAATAGATGTCAGGAGATATTTGCTGACAATACCACCTGTAACGTGTTTGAGTTTTATTTCGTCTTGCTCTGTTTTGTTAACTATCAACCAACTTATCATATACATTTTCATTGCTATCATTGAAAGCAACGATAAAGTTTTAAACACGCTTTTTCTACATTGCAACGCTTTCCCCCTTTGTGGGTTGTCTTTACATTGACTAGCAAGTTTTGCTGCTGTGGACGTAAGGATATAAAATGTTGTTGTTTGTGCTTGGATTCACTAAGAGTGGCATGTGCTTTTACACCGTTTTCAATTTACGTGGAAAAGTTTTGCGTTGCTGTCTTCGCTAGCATAATGAATAGTTTGGTGATTTGTTAGTTTTCTTTCATTCAATCATTTAAAGATTTTATTTCACAACTTATATTTAATTTTTATATTAATTTTTTCAATATCTGTCCATTTTTATTCAATCGTTGCGGGTTAACTAAGATGTTCTTATCATGTCTGGTGAAGGCTAAATTTTTATTACTTATTTTACTAAAATTCTTGTGAAAAATATTTCTTTTCAGAATAAATCACGCTTTTGTTTACACAAGATTTAAATATATTGTAGTAGTTAAGTAGTTTTGATTTCTAAATTAAATTGCTTAGCATTGTTTTGTTTTCTCGTTTCGCTTCTTTGATTTAACCGACCTCATTTCATCAAATTATTGAATATTATAAGCCAAAACTCTTCACTGGTACATTCATTATAGTGTGGTATACACTCTAAGCAGTTTACGAGATTCTCATGCTTATGCCGGGAAAATATTTTATGTCAAACTCATAAGGACCGATCATTTGGGCAATTTTTTTACAAAAAAGTAAGGTTAAATTTTGAGGCTAAAAAAAAATTATGAGATAATGAAGTGTTTAGGATTTTGAAGTTGAAGTTTGAAAATGTGCAGACTTCTTCGTTATATCACATTTGACGTTCTCCAATTTCGTACATTTTAATTCTTTTACTGTAGAATAACTATACCCCATGTTTCTCAAACCTAACCGATACATCAGAGGTCCTTTGAAGTATATAAATAAATGATTAGCGTAACGAGCTGAGTCGATCTAGATATGCACGTCTGTCTATCCATTTTCCTTTTATATATTATATATAATACTTGTATATGGTACACAAACCAATCTCTCAGTTTTTGAGATATTGATCTGAAATTTTGCACACGCTCTTTTCTCTTCAAGTGGCGAAATTTTGCATAGGTTATTATCCAAAGCATCGCAATAACCGCCGAACATATTGTTTAGATCGGTTCACTATAGCTTATAGCTACCATTCAAACTGACCGACCAAAATCCAAATAAAGATTGTTTATACCCTTTATGCATCCATGTAGGCTATTATAGCTTTGGTGCACCCGAAGTGAACGTTTGTTATTAATTTTTGCTTGTTGTCATTCAAATTAGACTGTTAGTCGAATTGTAGAGATATGTATTCTATATCCATTTAAAGGTGTCTTTTTCTTCTCATGATTTTTATCGAATTCAATTTGAATATTATAGTCAAAATATATAGGAACTTTCTATATACGAGTATGCTGACAACCGCAGTGTGCACTTACATATATACATATTTACACCACTGTAGGTGTATCACACATCTTTGAACTTTACCTGTTGATGTGACATTGGAATTTTATGGGTTTAATATATTATTACGTATATGTTGTATTATTACAAATTTCATGCATTTCCTCTTCATTAGTGTTGCACTGTACAAACATATACTCATATATGCAGCAATATTATTATATATGTGTGGTTCCTCCGGTCCAGCACAGATCGTTTGACTCTTGCGGTAATGCAATAAACTCGAGGCACTCAACCGAAATATTCTGGCTTCTGAATTAAAAAGATAAAGTTATTGCCGTCCAACGTAATGCATTCGCAATGCAGCCGTGTCCTGGAGATAATGATGGCCAAATACACTACTGGCACC